GCTACAACAAACAGTGCGCTCCCTTACACCCTTGTGGGAGGGCGCACAACTTAACGTGGTCCCCTTGGCTGAGCTACCAAGGCTGGTGAGGGCGACCCTGTGGATACCGGGACCACCGGTGGACGCAGGAGTCGTACTTCGCCGCCTGGAGGGTCAGAACCAATGGGCCCACGTCAAAAAATGGCTTCTTTTCCATCGCGAGGCCAAACCCGAGGCTGCCTCTCCAGGCAACCTCTTTGTGTTTGGTCTTGGGATGGAAGAGGCCAAGATAATCAGGGAGAGAGAGGGCAGAATCAATTATATGCTGTCCTCTTTCAACCTGAAACTCAAGGAGAACGAGGCGTCGGCTCAGGAAGAGCGGACCCCTATGGAAGAGGTAGAAACCCCAGGGGGTGAAGCCTCTACCAGTGGGGGCGGGCCCGCCTGAGACATGTGCCTCGTGTCTCCTAGGACAATTATGGGATTTTTGGTTGCAGAGATGGCGCTGCAGCAGATAAATTTCATTCAGATTAACCTGCAGCATTGTCGCATGGCGACGACTGTTTTGTGTCGTCGTCTAGACAAGATGCAGAACACTATAGCAATAATCCAAGAACCATGGATAGTAAAATCCAGGATCGCAGGGTTGAGCAATTTAAATGGCACTGTTGTTTCAGGTACCACAATAGAATCTCCAAGGACATGCGTCTACATTCCGAGGAAAATTAAAGCCGTCCTCCTACCTCAGGTCAGCTCCAGGGATGTGACTGCGGTAAATGTTAAGTGTAACATAGGAAGAGGCGAAGAGCAACTGGTAATAGCATCCGTGTACTTACCACAGGGAGCACAGGAACCATGTCCAACATGGGAAATGGCGAACTTGGTGGAACACTGTGATACCGGAAATATAAACCTCATCATCGGTGCCGATGCGAATGCCCACTGTCTGTTGTGGGGGAGCAAAGACACTAATGATAGAGGAGAAACACTAGCTGAATATCTTTCATCAACAAATCTAGAGATTCTCAACCGAGGCTGCGAACCAACTTTCGTAACATCACGTAGTCAGTCAGTAATAGATATTACACTGGCTATATGGGATATCTCACAATATATAATGGGATGGCACGTCTCTAAAGAGGCGTCAGTGTCAGACCATAGATGGATCATGTATACATCAAAATGTATAGACATGGAGACAAAGACGTACAGGAACCCTAGGCTGACGAACTGGGATTTATACAACGAAGAACTGGACGACAGACTGGGGACCTCCGTGCAGTCTATACCAACAGAATACAGATCGACAGAAGACATAGAGAAAACCTTGACCATTATCAACGACTCTCTAATGTCAGCGTATGAGAAAAGTTGCCCCCTAAAGAAGGAAGGTCTGGGCAAAGGTACACCATGGTGGAACCGAAGGCTCAGCCTACTTCAATCGGAGCTAAGAAAACTTTTCAATAGAGCAAAAAACACTAAGAAAACTGAAGACTGGGAAGCCTATAAAGAGCACCGGAAAGAGTTTAAGAAAGAATTAAGAAAGAGGAAACGGGGAACGTGGAGATCCTTCTGCAGCGACATAACGTCGACTGCTTCGGCCGCAAGGCTGAAGAGAGTTCTCTCGAAGGACCACACACATCAACTAGGTTTCCTAAAGAAAGAAGATGGCACCTTTACAGCCACCTTAGAAGAGTCCGCAGAACTTTTGCTGCAGACCATGTTTCCAGGCAGCACAAGGACTACCTCCCATTCCAAAAGGGATGTAGTCGGTACTCAACCTTCCCCGAAGGACTGGGCGCTGGCTGCAAAGGTAGTCACGGAGGCAAGACTGGAGTGGGCAGTGGACAGCTTTTCCCCATACAAATCTCCAGGAGTTGACGGTATTTATCCCGCCCTCCTGCAGAGGGGAATGAGCAGACTACGCCCTATTTTGTTGCCAATGCTTCGGGCGTGTCTGGCTTTCAGCTACATACCGAATGCATGGCGAAAAGTAAAGGTTATCTTTATACCTAAGCCAGGACGACAAGATTACACCTTGGCTAAATCCTACAGACCAATTAGCTTAACATCATTCTTGCTGAAAACGCTAGAAAGACTAAGCGAAAAAGAGATTCGGGAGACTGCTTTGAGCAAGCAACCTCTACATCCGAACCAACATGCCTACATCCAAGGAAGATCCACCGATACGGCCCTACACACAGTTGTAAACCGTATAGAGTGGGCGATGGAGAACAAACTCTTCACCTTAGGAATGTTTTTGGATATTGAAGGAGCGTTTGATAAAACGACCTTCAAAAGCATAGAGCTAGCCCTACGAGAGCACGACGTGGACCCTACCCTAAGTAGGTGGGTGGCCGGTATGCTGAGGAACAGGGAAGTAATGATTAATGTAGGTGGCACTGAGATCGAGGCTGTTGTAGACAGGGGATGTCCTCAGGGAGGAGTTCTCTCTCCTGTACTGTGGGATACTGTCGTTGACAGCCTGATACGACGCCTCAATGATCTTGGCTACCACACAATTGGATACGCGGACGATCTAGTCATTCTGCTAACAGGAAAAAACGCAGATACATTATGTGAGATAATGCAAGCTGCAGTAAAAATAGTCGAGGAATGGTGCAGCAGACATACCCTCTCCGTTAATGGAGAAAAGACGAAACTAATCCTGTTCACCAGGAAAAGGAAAATTGGTACACTACAGATGCCAAAAATATTTAACACAACGCTTCAACTTTCGGACGAAGTCAAATACCTGGGAGTTGTATTGGACTGGCGACTGAATTGGAAGAAGCATGTAGATGATAAAGTAGAAAAGGCACGCTCGGCTCTTTGGCAATGTCGTAGGGTGGTGGGAAGGTCGTGGGGTTTAAATCCCAAGATCGCCCTCTGGATCTACACGGCAATAGTCAGACCGATGCTGTGCTATGGAGCTTTAGTTTGGTGGCCCAGAGCCAGACAAAAAATAACAGCCCTGCAACTTGAACACGTTCAGAGAATGGCGTGTCTCAGTGTTACAGGAGCAATGAGGACCACTCCCACAGCGGCTCTGGAGACTCTTCTTTGCTTAGCACCTCTTAACCTTTACATAGAGGAAGCGGCAATGACGACGTCTCTAAGACTTCACTCTCTGGGAGTATGGAACAAGCAAGGCCGCACAACGAAGCACACTCGGTTCTTAACGGAGGCGTTCAACAGAATACCCTTGTTAAGGATGGGGTGTGACCGAATGGGCACAAAATTAATATATGAGAAGACATATAGAATATCAATGAATGATAATTCAGAAGGACGAGCCGACATAGATATCTATGTCGATGGTGCCAAAACAGATAGTGGTTCAGGAGCCGGCATCTACTCCGAACAACTGAACGCACAAATCAGTGTACCTCTCGGCACCCACACGTCTGTCTTACAAACAGAACTGATGGGAATAATGCTGGGAGCTAGAATCATTGCTGAACGTGAAATCGGCAACAAATCAATACGCATACTTACTGACAGCAAGTCTGCACTACTAGCCCTGGACAGCTGTATGGTTCGATCCGGGCTGGTATGGGAGTGCAGACAAACGCTAAAGTATGTAACGCAGAGGAATAGTGTGGAACTTTGTTGGATCAAAGGACACAGTGGCAACGAAGGAAACGAGAGGGCAGATGAGATGGCGAAGCGAGCCGCGCGCATGCCCTTCTGGAGACCCGAACCGGCAATCACGCCTTCGGTCGCCCTCTCGAACGAACTCGTAAAGCAATATACCCAGAGACGCCATGAGCAGATATGGGTGAAATTGAGCAGCTGTCGGCATAGTAGAGCTTGTATGGCGACACCAGACCGTAAGTTGACGAAATTTTATCTCTCACTTTCAAGGGACAAACTGCGTACACTGGTAGGATTCCTTACGGGACATTACCAGTTTAACAAACATCTACATACGATAGGGGTGGTAACAGACCCAATCTGTCGTGGATGCAATGAAGAAGAAGAAACAGCTGAGCACATTCTTCGTGAGTGTCCAGCCCTAGCCTCCTACAGGGAATCCATACTAGGGGACATCTGGCCTAGTATGGCAAATATCAGGGAGTTTCCACCCTCTGCATTACTCAAGTACATTCAAGCAGTTGGGTGGCTTGACGAGTAGAGGAGTGGGAAAACACCCTGATATGGACTTGGGGAAGGTACAATGGGCCCAAAGGCGAGGCCTAAGTGCCGGCTGGCTACGGTCAGCCCCCATAATTTAAGAATCCAGAATAGAGGTAGATACATTTTACAATATTAAACCAAAAAAAAACATAACATTTAAGGTATGGGATACTGCCGGTCAAGAACGCTATAGATCCGTGGTCTCCATGTTTTACCGTGGAACAAACGCCGCCATAATCGTTTTTGACGTCACGTCACAGCAGACTTTTGAAAGCGTACAAGAATGGGTTGCTGAATTAAAAACAATTGTTGAAAGTCCGATGGTTTTATGTGTGGTAGGAAACAAAATTGATTTAAGAGAAAATAGGCAAGTATGCATTGCTTTCGTTTTGTTTTATTTATTAAATTAAAAAAAAATGCTAGGTAACTAGAGATGAAGCCTATCAATATGCCAGAAGTATAGGCGCTTCGTATCATGAATGTTCAGCAATGCAAGATCAGGTAATGTTTGGATAGGATCATACTAAATTAAACTACTAAGTTATTTAATTTAAAGGGAGTTGAGGTAATTTTTGATAATCTAGCTCGTGCATTGCAAAGACTGTTTGGGAACAACTGTACAAGAAACGAGGAAACTGTAAATTTAAGTATAAACAGCACAGTATATGGTCGTGGGGTTAAACCAAAGTGTTGTGGTGTCTCGATTTGAAAATTAAATTTCGCGCCAACAAAAGTAGCAACGACCAGAAAGTGGACGATGCTGCTGGTTTATAGAACAATAAGTTTAAATTACAGGCTGTGAATACTTTATTAATCTTAATAAAATCTTATCTGTACGTTACTGATTTTTCAATAACAACTTTACTCATTTAGTCTCAATAGTTCAAGTATAGTGTTGGTTATTTAAAATGGAGACCAACCCTATTCAAGTGGTTGTTTTAGGGCCTCCAGGTATCGTAAACATACAATCTATATTTATCCACAAGCTATTAAGTCGAGTTCTTATCTTTTTCACTTGCGGGGTGTTCAATACAGTTTTAAACTTGAGGTTTCCTGACCTGTCAACTTATGTTGTGCCCGCGTGATATGATTTATTGATTTAAACCAATAAGAAATGTCAGTTCGCACTCGCGTAATTGAAATCAACCAATAGTAATGAGAGAGTAGTGGTACTTACACACTTTTACCGTTCCGTATATCTAGATTGTTTTCTCGTTTTGATGTCTATAAAACACATATACGTTGTGATTTAAAAAAGGTTTGCACGGTGAAGTTAAAAACAATGGCGTTTAGAGGATTATATATCTATCTGTTCTAAGGAGATAAGATTGCGGAGTATCATCTAGGACACCTGTATATTTATTTTATTTTTCTAGATGCGGGAAAAACCTGTATTATAAAACGTTATGTTGAAAATTCTTTCAACGATAACGTAGCAGTAACCTTAGGATGTGATCTCTACACTTGTGAACTTGTCATAAATGATTTCATCCTCAAATTACACGTAAGAATTATACACAATACTTCCTTTAAAAAAAATAGAGAGCGGATTTCTAGGTTTAATGCTTTTTGTGAAAAATGTAAGCACTTCAAAACTTCTTTATATCTGTAACTATGATACAATTTGGAGTCATTTGACACATTTTTTTTATGCTTATTTGCTTTTTTTCAATTTTATGCATATTAAAACTTATATGCTTATTTAATGCTTTTTTCGACGAATATGAGTTTTAATGCATATTTTGTTGAAATGCCGGCCTTGTCGGGATGACAAATACTTGTTAGTTAGCCGTATCGTATCGTATGCATTTTACCTGGACTTGACCATTGAAGTACACTTACTCAAGACCCTTTCTGTGAATAGGTTCCGGTCGTTTGGGTAATAAAATTTTATTATAGGATTGGAAAAATACTCCATAGATTTTATGACTTTAAATCCTTACTTCTGTTGATAATGAATTAAAGCTTTTAACCAGATGTTCTTTTTCTGCATTTTGCGGCAAGACGGTTGAAGATTTTCTAGAAAAAAGGATTATTGTACCCAACTACCTAGCTTAAAATGTTTCTAATGGAAACTTTTAAGTAAATGAACCGTTTATTTCACAACCATCAGTCTATCGCATCTGTCGTAGTACAGTGTTATACGTGGTTCTCCCTTGTTACATGTTGAGTTCTTTTTGGTAATATTACTAATATTTTAAAGAATGCCGAAAGTAAAATCGACGCCGGATGAGTGGATAAGGGATTTTCCATAATTAAAATTAGAAAACAACAAAATATTCTGCAGAGCTTGTGTGAAAACCGTAAGCCCACTAATTTTTTCTATCTATTTTCCTTTGTTAATCCTGTATATGTACGTTGTTTTAGATTCAAAGTGATAAAAAATATAACGTGACGCAACATGTCAGAACGACTCTTCATGTAGAAAGGAAGAAAATGTTTGAAGTTTCTAAAATTAAACAGCAGACCATACATGAATCTGTTGCATCTACTTCCACAAAAGATGAGCAGTTTCAGTTTAATTTCGATTTATGTAAAATGATGATCCAGTCCAATATACCTTTAAAAAAATTGGGGAAAGGCCCTCTTCAAGAATTCCTTGAAAAACACTGCAATCGACATATTCCGGTTGAAAGTATTCTCCGAAAAAATTATGTAGGCCCAGTGTTTCAGCAAGTTTACAACGAAATTAAACATCGCATTGGAGATAATTATTATTTATGGTTCGCTGTCGATGAAACAACCGATAGTTGTGGAAGATACGTGGCAAGTTTAATTGTTGGAATCTTAAATGAAAATTTCCCTAGTCGAGGGTATGTAGTAAGTTTGAAAATGTTAGATAAAACAAATGGTAATACGATTACCAGATTTGCAAATGACAGTCTTACGCAGTGGCGGCTCGTGACTATTTTGGTTGGGTCGGCCAGCAGTGAGTAACCCAAAGTTTTAAGACATAGAATACAAGAACCAGGGACCTCAAGTCAGTCATCTTCTTATATATATAAAAATGGATGTTGGTATATATATCTGTGATCGATAGACTCCGAAATCGTTTGACCGATCATCATGAAATTTGGCACATGTAAGTGGTTTTTCATGGAGAAGGTTTTTGTGGTATCCGCTTTGCTGTAACTAGCCACTAGATGGCGCTACAGCACATCAACTTCTACACCGTTCAACCGATTCTCATAAAAATTGGTACACGTTGGCATTTGACTATGGAGAATATTTTCGCCCTATCCATTTTGCTGTAACTCGCCACTAGATGGCGCTGCAACACATCAACTTCTGTACCAATCAACCGATCCTCATGAAAATTGATATACGTTGGTATTTGACCATGGAGAATATTTTCGCGTTATCGATTTTGCTGTAACTTGCCACTAGATGGCACTGCAGCACATCAACCTCTCTGTTAAAGTATTATGAACTTTGAGAATCAGCGGCACCCATATATCTATAGAGATGGGAACTATCGTTACTTTGGTGTACTCCTACGTATTCGTTACTTTTTAAAAAAGTAATCGTTATTTATAATCGTTACTTCGGGTATTGATTACTTAATGAAACTCGCTTTGGTTTTATTTTATTGCGGTATGAAAATATCTAATAATTTCTGGAATAATACAAGAAATATATTTAAATCGTAAAAAAATACAAAAATAAATCAAATAATATTACATAGAATAAAAAAAAAAAAAAAACAAAAACAAAAAACGTACTTTATAAATCTATTATTATTTAGTAACTTTAGTTACTTCATTAAATTTTTGTTAACTAACAAAAGGCCGCATTATTTTTAACTTATTATTCCTTTTTCTATATTCAACATTCAACTCAACTTGAAAGCGAAGTGTTAGTAAATAAAAGTAAGGGTATTTGATTTATAGGTTTAGGAGGTCGGTAGTTCTCGGTATTTCGGCAATCGGTTCTTGATTCCTTAGTATTTGAATCCAGAATGCATACTCGAAATCACGAAATGATCAGTAATCATTGACGAATAGTAACGATTACTTTTCAACTTCGATACTCGGTAGTTCGGGTCTCATCGTGTACCGAATACTTTGTAACGAATAGTTACTACCCGTCCCACCTCTAATATCTAATACTACTATATTGCTATCAGGCCTCAAAAGAGTCCGAAAACACAACGGCAGAGCAATACATCGGACCTCTTTGTCTCTCTATAGTACCAAACAGTACTGCTCATATACTCGTACTTGCTTGATTTTTAGTCGATAACGTGACTAGATGTGTTTTGACATTTCATACGTTCGCTTCTATTTTGTGTACGTGCGCACAGACCCTCGGTACTTTTCTAGACAGAAAACAATATCTTCCGTCTCCCTTTGTCCGTGAACACCGTTTCTATGTTACTTCTGAAGAGTTAGCAAGTATTAGATATATGGCGGCACCAATGACAGCATTGTTTTCGTTGGTATTACAACAAAAATCGTATTGACCGCAATATAAAATCATTAGTGATGTTCACTGTCTACAATCCTCAGTAATAACAAAGAGTGAATTACTAGAGATTATTGAAAATGCCATCCAAAAAATCAAACTGATTCCGCGCATTCCAATGGTTCCTACTGATTTGCCCTTTACATTCAAACGACTACAGTTTCCTGTGCGTCTTGCTTTCGCGATGGCAATCAACAAAGCCCAAGGGCAGTCTCTGCGCGTTGCCGGATTAAATTTAGGAAATCCATGTTTTTCGCATGGTCAACTGTATGTTGCTTGCTCCAGAGTAGGAATTCCAAAAACTTTGTACGTCTATACACCAAATCGAAAAACCAAAAATATTGTTTACCCACTAGCGTTACGATAGATGTTAGTATTGATTAAAATGTGTTCAAGCTGTTTCAGTTATAGTGGACCAAAAACTATAAGGTTATATGGCCATCATAAAATCATCCCATTGTGTCAAAGTTAAGTTGTTTACAATAGAAAAGGTTTTAGGGTCGTAAATAACGTGTCCAATGGAGCTCGACCGGCTGTTGTGGTTTCGTTCAGGGGCGGCTTTCACTAAATATGTAAATCCACCACTCCACTATTTCTTTACTACCTGCAGCCGCTGAGGGTTTCGAAATCACCACTCGCTTTGAAAGCCGGCCCTGTTAAATATGAGCAAGAAATGTTGAGAAGACAATTTATTGCCAACCGGTAAGCTTAGTGCGAACCACACAAAGGGGGTACTTATTTGCGGTCAACTACTTTTATAATGGTCATATAACCTTATACCTTTTGGACTAGCATATATAGCGAATACAATAGTCAAAAATTTTGTTCATTCACGTGAATTACTAATACAAAAATGTGTACATTGTGTATATTAATGAAAATAAATTTAATAGCATCAATATGAGTTATCTTATTATTCAATTTTCTACAACGCATTCTGCGCTCCAGACCATACATTTATATCCACATATATACAAAGTAAATATATACACAAGCAGGACAACGTCTGCCGGGTTCCGCTAGTTATCTATAATTTGCTTCCTGTATGGTGTTAATTCATATAGTCCTAACAACTTGGTAAAACAAAATAAAAAATATTCTTCAAATAGGTATAAAGTAAAGCATATACTTATACAATATAAGCCATCTATAATAATAAAATAACGACAATAAACTCAAATAAAAATGAAAATAACATTCAAGTTATAAAGTAACACATTCTAACAAAAAATATAACATGAAACGTCAACAACTATTTATTAGTAAAAAACAAAATTAAAAAAGTAAATTAGAAATTTTTATAAACCAATTCAATGCGTCTTTGTTTTGTATTGGCAAAGTGGTCAATTACTTGATTATAGAACTTTTGATCTTCCGTTAAGTTTGTAAGCACTTCTTTTTCTATTGCTAAAACGAATAATTTGGATAATCGATTTTGACTAATGGAGTTTCTAGTAAAATTTGTAATTCGCTTTAAAGCTGAAAAACTGCGTTCAACATATGCTGATGTGGATGGTAGGTATATGATTAAAATTAAAGACAGAAATAATTTCGGAGGCTTCTACATTTTCGTAAGTAGCATCATCAGGAGCAGGGTTGAGAAATTAGGAAGATGGCAAAAGAGCACGGTAACTCAATATGTCAATCGTACCAGACGACCAGAGGCAAAACTCTTTTTCTGAAGTTTTTTTGAATTTATTGTCAACATCATATTCAAAAATTAAACAATATCAACAAAATAGTTTGTTTTTTGACTTGCTCCCCGTCAGCCATTCATAATTTTCATACCATGCTGTATTAATTATTAATTATTAATATGCTATTGCACCGGAGCTGACGTTATTATTGCTCCGTGCTTCGATTAAATGTTGCATGCGCGGCTCCGAACGGGTCATTTCTTTTATATCCCAGGAATTGATCATCGTATGTTAAAAGTCGAAAGTCATTATTTAATAGATGTGTAACAACATCAAAATTTAAATCAGTTAGTAATTCTCTTACTAACTGTTGTCATTGTTACTGAAATTAGAAACAAACCTAAACCAATTTCATCCACGTGAAGACTGCAGAAATTCACAATATACAGACAGCGGCCGGCCGGTGCTGGTTGGTAGTGGGGAACCGCATGGAAAAGTGCACGGCAGAAGTGGAGTGATGAAACGTAATATTGTACGGTTTCATCGCTATTGCCTTCTAACTTATACAAACAGAAGGTGATAGCGCTATAACAACTTGATGTACTGCCAAAAGGCCGGCCGATTTTAGCAGACATTTGACCAATCACTGCTGCAGGCGCGTTAATCAGAGGGTATCAGACACGTATCAGTCTTTATAGCTATTTCTCTTTAATTCCGCTAAACAGAGAGCGATAGCAGATATGACATTATTCGACGTTTATTCTTGTAGTCGGCCGGCCTCAGCTGCTGCTCCTCGCAGTAAAAATATTTAAACTTCCCGGCACGATTTGTGCTTCCGAACGAAAGTGAATAAATTAGATAACGCTTTTTGTAATTAAAAAAATAATAACAACAGTAAAATCAGGTGATTTCAAAATAGCTTTAAATTATATTCTTGCGTTTAAAATAAAAATGAATATCGCAAATTGACAAGTTCGGTGACAGACTCGGCCTGGCCTAACTGGCCCCCCCTGACGAGCCGCCACTGGTCTTACGTCACTATTTTTGCCAAATGCCGTAACGGCGAATAAAATTTTATTGATGATCTCGGATGCAGTTCGTTATATGTTGAAAGCAGGGAATAATCTAAAAATATTGTATCCCAATTTAATTCACTCTACTTGCATTGCCCACGGTTTAAACAGAGTGGCTGAAGGAATACGTTTGCAGTTTCCTACTGTTAATAAATTAGCGACAAATGGTAAAAAGATTTTTGTTAAAGCCCCACTAAGAGTGCAACATTTTAAGGAAAAATTTCCAAACATACCATTGCCCCCAGAGCCGATTATAACGAGGTGGGGAACATGGTTACAGGCCACCTTTTATTATGACAAATATATCAAAGAATCTGAGAAAGTAGTTACTGAGTTTAGCGAAGATTCTTCTTAATCGATTAAAGGTTGCATAAATATTTTGGAAAACAAAGCTTTTCTAAGAAGCAATTATCAATTCGTATTTGAGGTAATAGAAAAGTTAGAAAAACCCAGCATGTTGTTGGTAGATGCCATAAACTTAGTGAAAGAATTTAAACAACAAGCAAACGCAGTAAGGGATGATACTGGTACTAGAGTATCTCAAAAACTTGACGAAGTGTTAAATAAAAATGCAGGTTTCGGTGTTCTTTCCGACGTTGCTCGTGTTTTACAAGGCCAGAAGGTGGAAAATTTGGAGTTAGATTCAACATTAGTTGCAAAATTCAAATTTGCGCCAACGAGTGTGGATGTTGAACGCACATTCTCCAATTTTAAACACATTTTAAATGATCGACGAAAAAATTTTACAGTGGACAACTTGGAACATATTACAATCATAAATTGTTTTAAAGAAAACTGAAATACGTGTGTAAAATATAAAGTCTAGTATTATTGTAATAATATTTTATCCAAAGTTCTAAGAAGTGTTCTTTGATTTGTAATATGATTATGTTTTTAATGCTTTTTTGCTTAAAATAAAACTTTTTTAATGAAAGTGTTATGCTTATTTAATGCTTTTTTGCTTAAAATAAAACTTTTTTATTGAAAATGTTGTGCTTATTTAAGCGCTTATTCTTAATTTTTTTGTGCTTATAAATCCGCTCTTTAAAAATAACATTTAAGATATGGGTTACCGCCGGTCAAGAACGTTTCTACTCCATAGTTCCTGTTCGTGCTTTTCATTCGCCGAGATTCCGCTTTGTTGGGTGGCGAGAATAAAAAACAACACTTGTGGTTTTTGTTGATTTATTTACACGGAACTTACTTCGGCAACGGACACAAGACAACAGATGAAGTATATACAAAATACGGGCCTTTTATACCCAAAAACGGAGCCGAGCTACCTGTTCTTACAATGGATTTAACTGTACATTTTTCCTAGACAGGAAGCGCACCTGCAACTACTGTACCCTTTCTAGTCGGCTACCTAACCTTCCTGGAAATATACTTTCCATACCGGCCACCTTGAAGACCCTAACTTCAATTACAAGAATCATATGATATTATTACATTGACAGGAGATTACAATTTGTAAACCTGAATTAAGCATTTGATTGGTAAAAAATAAATCATATTAATTTTTGCGTTAGATAAAATGGCATTAAGATACAAGTTTAAATAATATAAACAACGGGATCGACAATTTTTCAAGTGTTTAACTTAAACTAAAATGCACTCCGCTACGTTGCCCGCTGATTTGGGGCGCACCTTTTGAAACCGCGTACTTTGGATTAGGGGCGCATTTTACATAGGCAGAACGCATAACTTTCGTACTGCTCTTTTCACAACACCGGCACTGGTTTTTATGGACACCACGCGAACGACGCCGTCGGTACCAGGGTGGACGTCCAGGATTCGGCCCAATCTCCACTGCAACGGCGGGGTGTTTTCTTCAACCAGGATGACCATGGTGTTGACGGCGATTGCATCAGGCTGCGTAGCGAATTTTTGATTTCGAAGGGAGTACCTACTGAGTTAGGTACTCTTTTTTCCAGCGATGCCAAAAGTCCTGACGAAGGCGCTCGATTTTTTGCCACTGTGATAAACGATTAACTTTGAGTGGCGTGATGTCCTGCTCATCAATAGCTGTGAGTGGTTCGCCAATTAGGAAGTGACCAGGGGTTAGAGGTTGAAGGTCATTGGGGTCGTTACTCAGGGGAGTAATGGGTCGGGAGTTCAAAATTGCTTCAACACGAGTTAAAAAGGTGTAAAGCTGTTCATAAGTTAAAAAGTTTGAATTCAATGAACGTTTGATATGATTTTTAACAGATTTTATGTTGCCTTCCCAAAGGCCGCCCATATGTGGTGATTTTGGAGGAATAAAATGCCATTTTATTCCTTTATTTGCAAGATTATGAATGACATTTCTGAAAGATTGCGATTTCAAAAATTCTGTTAGTTCATTCAATTTATTTCGAGCACCTACAAAGTTCGTAGCATTGTCCGAATACATATGATATACGTGACCACGCCTGGCCACTAGTCGATTAAAGGCTGCTAAAAATGATTCGGTTGTCAGATCGTTTACGAGTTCCAAATGGATCGCTTTGGTTGAAAAACATACGAATAGGCAAATGTATGCCTTGACATGACGCTTGCTACGACCACGACATTCCTTAATTAGCAGAGGTCCGGCGTAATCTACGCCACTGACTAAAAAGGGACGTGTAGGTTTAAGTCTTGATTTAGGCAAGTCACCCATTGGTGGGAATAAAGGTTTTGGGTTTGTTCGAAAACAATTAAAACATTTGTGTAACACACCTCTGACAACGGTTCTAGCAGCAGGTATCCAAAATGTTTGTCTTATAGAAGCTAATGTACCTTGAAGTCCTGCGTGCAATTGTATTTCATGTTCGTACTGAACCAAAATTTTTGTGATGTGATGACCTTTAGGTAATAAAATCGGATGTTTTATGTCATAAGATAGTGACGATTTTTTAAGTCGCCCTCCCACGCGAATTAATTGGTTTGTTTCATCGAAAAATATGTTTAGACTTAGCAATCGTGATTTTTTGTAACTGACGTGCGATAGTGAATTTTGAATTTTGAAGTTCTTCTGTTAATAAATGATTAGCCAGGTTTTTAGAATTTGGATTTTTGCAATTATTGATAAATCTTAGTACCCATGAGAGCACTCTTTCTGTTTTTTTTATAGGATGAAAATTTGGTTAAAATTGGCAGCTCTATTGTTGGTGTTTCGGATGATAATAGCGAAATTGTGCGTCGTTCTGGGGTTTCTATGGTTTTTAAATTGATATTTTGTATTGGCCATTCGGAATAGTTTTGATTTAACCAGTGTGGCCCGTGCCACCATAAGGGGTTATTTTTTAAGTTCTGCGGTATACAACCTCGACTAATTATATCGGCGGGGTTGTCTTCACTTTTGACGTGATACCAACCGTCTTTAGGGCTAAGTGTTTGTATTTCGGAGATGCGATTCCCTACAAATGTTTGGTAGGACGCTGGAGTTCCCTTAATCCACGCTAGGACAATAGTGGAGTCTGACCAGAAATATTTTCGATTTATTTCCATATGTAAAGCTTGCGAAACAACGTTCATTAGGCGAGTTAATAACAACGCTGCTGAGAGTTCAAGTCGTGGTAACGTGATTGTTTTAAGTGGTGCGATTCTGCTTTTGGCTGCTATTAAATGAGTTTGACTGTTTTCGGATGAATCCGTAACCCTGAGATAAACCGGTGCCCCTATGCGACTTGGGACGCATCTCCAAAGCCATGCATTTCGATTGCAATACGGTTAATCTGAATTATATTGCGTGGAATGTTAATTTGATTTAAACTACCGAAAGTTCTTAAAAGATTTTGCCATGTTTGTTGTCTAGTTTCGGGAACAGGCTCGTCCCAACCGATTTTTAACATCCAGAGCCTTTGGATCACTATTTTTGCCGTAACAATGACTGGGGCAATTAAACCTAAAGGGTCGAATATTTATGCGGTTTTCGATAAAATTTCACGTTTTGTTATTTGATTTGAAACATTATATTCAAAATCCCTAACTGAATAATTTAAAATGTCGTGATAAGGATTCCACAACAATCCTAAAGGTTTTGTATATTCGCCTTTGTCCAATCGGATGTTTAAATTTTGTTCATGACTAAGTGTGTCAGGAATTAGCTCAGAATGATTGGAGGCCCATTTCCGTAGCGAAAATCCTCCATGTTTTAAGATCTCTATAATTTGATCGCGAATTACGATAAGTTCCTCCACCGAATTGTGTCCCGTGAGAAGGTCATCGACGTAGAAATCTCTTTGGATGATTTTCGCGGCCTCTGGATAATGGGATTTGAACTGTAAGGCCAATTCGTGCAGGCACCTGATCGCAATAAAACTAGCCGGTTTTGTTCCGTACGTTAAAGTGGTTAACCGAAAAGTCTTTAATTCATCCTGAATGTTATCTCGCCAAAAAATACGTTGATAGTCCGTATGCTCAGGATGCATTAGTATCATGCGGTACATTTTCGTTATGTCGCCACTTAGAACGTATTTGAAAGTTCGAAACCGTGTTAATATTGCAAAAAGATCGTCTTGTATTGTAGGACCTGCTAAAAGATTGTCGTTGAGGGAAAGTCCGCTTTCGGTTTTTGATGATGCGTTAAATACTACGCGCAATTTGGTCGAGGTGGATTCTTTGAACACCGCGTGATGTGGCAAATATGTGACCTTTTGATTTTCGATTTCACTAGGAGGAACTTCTTCCATATGGTTTAATAGTTTATATTCGCGCATAAATTTTGAATAATCAGCTTTGAGGTCTGGTTTTTTTGCAAGTTTTCTTTCAAGATTATAAAATTGCCTTAATGCATTTTTGCGATTTGAATCAAGAATTGGCGGATTGTTAACAAATGGTAATTTGACTATAAAGCGGCCATCAGCTGCCCTATTCGTTGTTAATTTATAATGATTTTCAGATTTAAGCTCTTCGTCAGTGAGCCTCGTGCAGACGGTTCGGCATTGTTCTAATTCCCAAAATTTTTCTACCTGTTTTTCTAATACGGATGTTAGGGTAATGCTTAAGCTGGATGACATATTTAGATTACCTGAATGCGGAACGTTCAAGGATCCTCCGACAATAAAACCTAACTGAGTTGCCTGCAATTTAAGTTCGCCAGCGGGCGAATTTTCGTTTGGACACAAAAGTTCCCAAAACAGACCGGCACCAATGAGGACATCAATTGGTCCAGGATCGTAAAACATAGGATCTGCTAATAGTTTATTGTTTGGTATAACCAGATGTTTTGGATCTATTCGCGCTAACGGCAGATTTTCAGTGATTTGATCCAAAATTAACCAATTTATGTTTGCCGAAAACTTCTCATAACGCGATTTTATTTCTACGTTCGTCCAATATTTTACGTTAGATTTGGTTTTTCCGATACCGCCAATATTGATATGTATTGGATTTTGTTTTAAACCTAATTTTTTGCATAGCGATGTAGTGATGTAATTACTCATGCTGCCCGAATCTAAAAGAGCTCTGCATTGTATGTATTTGTTTTGTGCATTTTTAATTAGGATTAGAGCTGTTGATAGAATTACAGTGTCCTTTAAATTGAATAATGAGTGATTTACAACCGAATTTACGTGCTGAGTTTCGCTGTTTTCGGGTCCATCGCGGTGCAAAAGTGTATGATGTTTCTCTCCGCATTCGCGACATCTTGATTTTGAAAAACATGTCTGTGTTTTATGATTGCTTCGAAAACAGTTAGTACATAAATTCAATTTTTTAGTGAAATTAAATCTTTGTTGTGAGCTTAAATTTCGAAATTCTGGACAATGATATATACTATGAATTTTATCACAGTAAATGCAATTACTGTCTTTGTTTGTAGCTATATGAGCTACCGCCCTTGGTTTTTTGTTAATACTTTGGTTTGCATTAGAAGTTTGAGGCGTGTTCGTTTTATTATTAATCAAACTGATTGATTCTAATGTTCTATACCGTTTATCTAAGTATATGATTAATGATGAATAGGTCGGAACATCTTTGTCCAACGTAGCTTGCCAGTCTCTAATTGTGACATAGTCTAATTTTTCGATTATGATTGGGACGATTAGCGCGTGCCACTCGTCTATTTTAATATCTAATTGTTTTAAGGCTGTGACATTTCTGATTATAGTATCTAAAAGTTCGCGAATTGCATAATGTGACGCTTTAGACAAACTAGGTAGTTTTAATATGGATAAAATATGATCCTGTACGATTAGTCGCGTGTTTTTAAATCTGCTTTCGAGAATTTTCCACGCTTCTTGATAATTTTCGTCGGATGCCTCTAACTGTTCGATTGACCTTTTTGCTTCACCTTCTAAACAAGATCTTAAATGCTGGAACCGTTGACAGTCGGTTAGTTTGTAAGAATTGTCTTCGATAATTGACTTGAACGTGTTAGTGAATGTTAACCATTCTTTGTAACAACCCGAAAATGGTTTAATATTAATGGGTGCGATTGGAGGAAGATGTGCAAAAGTTGCGTGATTACCTGAATTAGACGTTTGTGCGTCGTCGCGACTTTCAGATTTTGATTCGATTGTAGCTATTATTTCGCAATATTTATTTTCGATTTCTTCGCGATATTCTAAATGTTTTTCGACAACCGCCTTGTCAGATCTATCTAATAACAAGTCGATTTCATCCTGTATACTGTTGTATTCTTGAAATGCTTGATTGGCTAATGTTACGCGCGTTTTTAATAAATGAATATTAGAGTTTGCATTGAATGAATTAACAAAAGTTTGAATTCGTGTAAATTTTGACTTGATCGTGGTTCTTTTAACGATTAATTGATCTAAAGTGGGCGCCATTTCCTAACTGATTTATGATTAAAAAGGTGTGTTTTTTGGTTATAATAAGGATTGGAAAGGAAACGAACCACTCACCTGATACTTGTTGCTGTTGATATGTTGATGTGCCCGTTGCATGTTCACGTGTTGCGTATTACTTAGTTATGATGTCGCGATATTACTGATCGAATCACTAAATTCGTGTATTTACACATCCGGCTCGAAGGACCATATGTTCGTGCTTTTCATTCGCCGAGATTCCGCTTTGTTGGGTGGCGAGAATAAAAAACAACACTTGTGGTTTTTGTTGATTTATTTACACGGAACTTACTTCGGCAACGGACACAAGACAACAGATGAAGTATATACAAAATACGGGCCTTTTATACCCAAAAACGGAGCCGAGCTACCTGTTCTTACAATGGATTTAACTGTACATTTTTCCTAGACAGGAAGCGCACCGCAACTACTGTACCCTTTCTAGTCGGCTACCTAACCTTCCTGGAAATATACTTTCCAGTTCCTCTGCATTACCGCGATACGAAGGTCGTCCTATTCGTTTTTGACATCACTTCACAGGAGAGTTTTAAAAGCATGCAGAATTGGGTTGAAGAAGTGAACAATAGAGTTTCTCCGATGGTCTTATGTGTAATAGGAAATAAATCTGATTTAGAAGAACAAAGACAAGTATGTATGTACTAGTTTTGTTTATTTTTATTTATTAATAACAAAAAAAAATATTAGGTCACCAAAAAGCAAGCCCATCACTACGCTGAAAGTATAGGTGCTTCTTACTACGAATGTTCTGCGAAGAAAGGTAGGGTAAGTAGTGTTGAAGGAGTGTAAAGCTAGTAAAACTAAGTTTTTTATTTTGAAGGGAATTAGAGAAGTGTTTGATGATGTAGCTCGTCATTTCATTAGTCCACTTGGAAACAGAACTGGGGGTCGATTCTCGAACTCGTTCGAATAAGTTCCGCATACGCAAGTGGCCAACTTCCGAACGGTTTTGAAGATTCGGTATTCTCGAAGCGCGCGCACACGTTCGTATACGCAAATGTTCGAGCGTATACGAACGTCAAGTTACGAGTGGGTAGATGCGATCGCATTTTGGTTTGCGAGTGGTGAAAGCTAACCTAAAACTCTGTTTGGTTTTGGTCGTTCTGTTGTAACTCAATATAATATCTTTAATATGATGTATCTGTTAATATACATTAATAGAAAGGGTTACCATTCCAAAAATACACAAATTGTAATGTATCAATTTGATTGTGGGAATTTTATAATTTCATTTACAATTTTGACATTTGTGATGCAAATTTAAAAATTTTAAATTGAAACAGCCGATTTCTGTGTAGTACACATAATAGCTACATATGTATGAAGAAACAACGGACTATTGCGATATTTTGGGTAATTTCTAATAATACACTAACACGTTCTTATTATGGTTGTAACAATAATTTTTAGGTGACTCTGGCTAGCCACTGGGAACATTTCAAATATACGTGCAGTTGTTTCAAAAATAAAAACTAAAATGAATTCTGAAAGATCATTTACTGTACAAAACGGTTGTAATGGTATGCATAAATATACCTGTAAAATCATAATCATAAATCATAAATATCGGGTAACCAAACGCTAAGAATTTTCTATAAACTAGGAGAGTACACGCAGCAATAAAGGTATTAATATGCAAATACCTGCTGGCTGCGGTGGTCCCACTCAAAAATAAACATTATTAAGTTTGTATCTGCATCATTGTAAAAAAATCACAAGAATTTGTATTAAATACGTAGGGTTGCATAAAATCATAAAATCAACATTTTTTTTTAATCACGATTTTTTTATGTTTTTTTAGTCTGTCAATTATTTGGAATTAAAATCCTGATTAAAATAGTAAGTATCCGACTTAATGTCATCCTTGAGTCGTACTTCTTAGTTTTGAACAATAAAGAGAATTTATTGTAATTTACATTGTAAAAAAGGAATCGATAGTGTTATTTATAATATGTACTCCTATAATCTTTAAAATACAATTTAAAAGAATTATCGTTCCATTTTGTTGGAAATATTGTATTTTAGTTAAAGTTCAACTTATTTTGATATAAATTTGAATTAAAAGGGCCGTAATATGCATTGCTTATTCCAAACTGTAAAGAAAACTTAAAAAAAAAACAATAATACTTTAAAGCAATAATTTAAATCGAGCCAATCCTGCTAATACGTGTTTTGCTGCTTAATAAATTTGGAGGCAACAGATTAAAACAGTCCTTCTTAGATTCAAACCGACACCGCGTGAGTTCTGCCAACCATTGCATTTAAATTTCCTCTGTATTTTTCCGCTGTTGCCATATCGCCACTCGAACAGAGGCCTTCGTATGCGCATCGAGTTGCTATTCGCATTGGATCTCGTTCAAGAAGACGGATTTTCGTTTCGAATAGCATCTTGGCATGCGCATCTATTCGTATTCGCATCTTTGCGAACGAGTTCGAGAATCGACCCCCTGGTTCTAGTGGTACAGCAAGTTAGCAACCAACACAGAAAAGATTATATCACTAACGGGTAGAAGACTTGGCCATTCCATAGAGAACAATACATTTACAGTCTCAAAATGTTATTGCTGATTTTTGTTTAACTTTTATGCTTGAACAAAATCGTGTTAAATAAAACTATGTTATTTATGTTTTAAAGAGTTGAAGTAGTTACCTTTTTCGTTCCACCGTAGTATGTACGAATATTTAAAAGTGCTGGAAAAATCAAACTATAGATTGTGAAAAACTTAATCTTAAAATAAGTATATAAAATCTTATCTGAATTTTTTTTCTACAAAGACAAGGTTGCTCATTTAATCGCTAGACTCAAAGTGAAGTGTTGGTTTTTTTACTTTAATTTTAATTTGTTTAAGATGGAAACTATCAATCGTAAAGTAATTTTTTTGGGTGATCAAGGTATCTTAAGCATACAATCTATACTAACATTAGAACTAACCATATATATATCTATAATATATTTTTTTTATATTTCTAGGTGTGGGAAAAACTAGCACTATTACTCGTTATGTAAAAAAGTCGTTCCGGAATAACACAACACCAACCTTGGGGTGTTTTTCTTTCGTTTATGAACTTGTCATAGATACTATCACCGTCAAATTACAAGTAGACACATTTTACCCCCCAAAAAAAAAAACATAATAGCCATAACATTTAAGATATTGGATCCTTCGGGTCAAGAACGCTTTAAAAGCATGCTCCCCAAGTTTTATCGCGAAGCAAACGCCGCCATAATCGTCTTTGACATCACTTCACACCAGACATTTAAAAGCGCACAAAAATGGTTTGCTGAATTAAAAAGAAACGTTGAAAGTCCGATAGTCTTATGTGTGTTAGGAAACAAAATGGACTTAACAGAAAATAGGCAAGTATGTATTTCACTTTCACTTTGTTTATTTATTGAAAATAAAAAAATGCTAGGTCACTACAGATGAAGCCTACCAATATGCCAGAAGTATAGGCGCTTCGTACCACGAATGTTCAGCAAAGCAAGATCAGGAGGTAATATTGGAACATCATGTTAAATATAATTAAGTTATTTAATTTAAAGGGAGTTGAGGCAGTTTTTGATGATGTAGCTCGTAAGATGCAAACACTGTTTGGGAACACTTGTACAAGAAACGAGGAAACTGTAAATTTAAATGAAAGGAGCACAGAACGTCGCGCAAACTGTTTTGATACCCGGAATTGAAATTTATATTTGACGACAAAAAAGCAGCAACGCTATGAAACCGTATTAGAAAAATAAAAAAAAAATTGGTAATGTAGTCGATCACACATAATTCCGGTCACTATGGTTGCTGATACACATTTGTAATATTATTTTCAAATGACAAGAAGGTTTGTAACTAAGAAAATAAGCTCCATCAGCTCAGACAGGAGTCACATGTCCCTAATTTCATAAAATAAATAAAAAGATGTTACTCAATATTTTTGCTTTTAATTTAAGAAACATTTTGTGACAAATTCATACTTTGTAAACATATTATATGAGAGCAGGACAAGAAGGAAATGAGCCACATTTTTATAAAATAATATCAAGACATTGTCGCAGTAGGTGTACATCAAAACAACTACTCACTTTTTGACAGCGGAATAACAAAAGGCTCTTAAATTATTTATTGACCTTAATAAAATCTTATCTACAATTAATTGATTTCGCAATGACAAATTTTGTTATTTAGTAGTTAAAAATTCCCGCTTGCAGCTTCTCACTTTATCAATAGATGTATTTTTGTATCTTTTGCAGCGTTGGAAAAACCAACAATAAGTATATAAAATCTTATCTATCGATACTATTTCTCACAATCGCAAGCTTCTTCCTTTAATCAATAGTTCTAAAATACAGTGTAGGTTTATTTACAAAATTAAGTTGTTTCAAATGGAAATTACTGGTAAAGTGGTTATTCTGGGACCTATGGGTATGGTAACTAATTAGAATAATTGTCAGTGATGTTAATTATTATTATAAATAAATACACATATGTGTACGTACAGGTGCTTACAAAATAAAGCACTAATTCTATGAGACAGTTTAAAAATCCTTGAGTGCTAATGGAGCCATTTTACAATTCGTTACACAGTCAACTCTAATTCATTATATTTTTTTTACATCGTATACATTTCTTGTATTTTTCCAGGTGTAGGAAAAACCAGCATTCCACTTCGTTATATTCAAAAGTTTTTCTTCGGTAACATCCAACCAACCGTGGGCAGTTCTCTCTTACTGTGTAAACTTGTCATAGATGACATCACTGTGAATTTACAGGTAAGGTTTGTATATAATATTTTCTTGAAAAAAAAAACCATAATATTTAAGATATGGGATACTGCTGGTCAAGAACGCTTTAGAAGTCTGGTCCCTATGTTTTACCGGAATGCAAACGCAGCTCTATTCGTTTTTGACATTACTTCAATGGAGAGTTTTCAAAGTATGCAGGGATGGGTTAATGAATTAAAACACAATCTTCAAAATTCGGTGGTCACATGTGTGATAGGAAACAAACTCGATTTATCAAAAAATAGAGAAGTATGTATTAATTTCGTTGACTTTTGTCTATTGACAACAGAAAAATTACTAGGTCCCTACGGATGTAGCCAGGCAATATGCCAAAAGTATCAATGCAAGGTACTACGAATGTTCAGCTAAGCGAGATCAGGTAATATTCATATTTATGTTTAGTAAAAGTAAGTCATTTAAGTATTTTATAGGGAATTGGAGCAGTTTTCGATTACGTAGCGCGTGGTGTGGTGGAACAATTGGCGAACACAAGTGATCATGAGTCAGGAAATACTACGAACGTAGCATATAGCAATAATAGCAATACAATAAGAAATGACACAGAAAGGACTATTAATACAAAAAGTCGTTGTTGATTTTTGGTTAACGTAATTATTATTAAGTATACTATATTTTGTGTATTTAATATTTATATATTTCACTTTAATAAATTGTGTGTGAAGATGGACGTTAGGAATTATAAATTTCTTAAGATTTAAAAAATTTAGGAATCAGAATTTTAAGATTCCTGGTGAAGATTTTAAATTTTAGAAGTCAAGATTTCAGAATTCCCAATTTTAGGATTACATCACTGTGGATTTCGGGTTTCGTACTATCCGGTTTTCAAATTTCGTATTCTGTTGACTTTGGATTACTAGATTGACGATTTCAGTAGTCAAAATATCAGGATTTATAACTGGAGGATTTTAGTATTGGGGATTTCAGTATCTATAGTTTTAAGATTTCAGATTTATTGTTTTAGGCTTCGTGATTTCACGTTTTAAAATGTTCAGGTAAACGAAATAGAATTACAGAATTCAAAGTTTCAAGATTGTAAATTTCTCAATTTATCAGTTATCAAAACTTCGAGATATGAGGATTTTAGCACAGTTTTGGGATTTTCCAGTATTTTGATTTTTCGACTTTTCGCTTTTTCGACTTCTAGATTTTTGGAATTTTATTTTTCGGATTTTCAGTTTTTAAACTTTAGATTGTTCAATTTTTCGACTGTTTTATATTTCGATTTCTCGATTTTTCAACTTTTCGATGTGTTAATTTTTCAATTTTTCAAAGTTTTTTGATTTCTCGAGTTTTCAGTTCTTCGATATTTCAATTTTTCAATTTTCCGAATTTTTAAATTTTCGATTTTTCCAATTTTTCTCTCTTAAAATTTTTCGATTTTTCAATTTTTGATTTCTCGATTTAACAATTTTTCAATTTTTAACTTTTCTTCTCGCTTTTGCATTCCTCCATTTCTCCATCCTCTAATTTTTCGATTTCTCGATGTCTCACTTTTGAATTTTGGGCTTTTCAATTTTTGAATTTTCCAATTTTTCGACTGTTTCCGATTTCTCAATTTTTCAACTCTTCGATATTTTGATTTTTCAATTTTTAAAATTCTAGATTTTTTAGTTTCTCGTTTTTCAATTTTCTACATTTTCAAATTCTTCAATTTTTTAAGATCTCGATTTGTCGAGATTCGGATGTTTTGATAATTTGATTATTCAGTCTCTCGATTTATCAATTTTTCCATTTTTAACTTTTCGATTTTTCGATTTTAGGTTATTTTGGTTTCTCGATTTTTCGATATTTCGACTTCTCGACTTTTTGACTCCTCGATTTCTCGATCTTTGGTTTTTAGATTCCTCAATGTATCGATTTTTAAATTTAAAATTTTCGAATTTCTTTTTTTTTAATTTCTCGATATTCAATTTTACGATATTTTAATTGTTCAATGTTTTAAATTTTAGATTTTTCGATTTTTCCATTTTTCAGTTCTCCAATGTTTTTTAATTTTTCAAATTTTCACGTTTCTGAATTTGTAGTTTTTTGATTTCCCATTTAATCGATTTTTTCAACGACTTTCCAAAGTTTCGATTTTTCAGTTCTTCAGTTCTTCAATTTTTCGATTTTTCAGGTGTTTGATTTTTCGATTTTTCGGTTTTTATAAGTTTGCGATCTTTCGACTTTACTTTTTTGACTTTTCGATTTCCAGATTTTCCATTTTTTTAATTTCCCAATTTGTGGATATTTCGTTCAATTTAGTGATTTTTCAGTTTTTCGATTCTTCAATTTTTTAAATTTTCGATATTACAGTTTTGGGACTTTTTAATAATTTTGGCTTTTCGATTTTTCGAGTTCTAAATTTTTCGATTTCTCGATATTTAACGTTTAGGATTTTCAATTTTTCGTTTTTTAAACCTTATATTTTTCAATTTTTCGACTGTTTTAGTTTTTCAATTTTTTTGATTTTATGATTTTTCCATTTCTCGATTTCTCGACTTATCACGGTTTTTCAATTTTTCGATTTTTCTGCTTGGATTTTTCGACATTTGCATTTATTGATTTTTCAATTTTTCGATGTCCCAGTGTAATGATTTTTTAATTTTTCGATATTTAAATGTTTCAATTTTTCAATTTGTGACGTTTCTAAATTTTGAATTTTTCGTTTGATTAAATTTTTAACTTTTTTATTTCTCAATTTCTCGATTTTTCAGTGTTTCAGTTAGCCAATTTTTCGATTTTTCAATTCTCGATTTTCCGATTTTTAATTTCTCAATTTTTCGATTTTGGAATTTCCCCATTTTTCAGTTTTCCATGTTTCAGTTTTGTGATTTTTCGGTTTTTCTTAAGTTTTGTTCCATTTTTCAATTGTTTGATATTTTTGTTTCGAGATTTTGCAATATTTAGATTTGCCAATTTTTCGACATTTCGATCTCGACGCTTCCATTTCTCCATTTCTCCATCTTTTGATGTTTGAATTTCTTGGAATTTTTCCAATTTTTTAAATTTTCGGGTTTCGATGTCTCGATTTGTTGATTTTTGGGTTCTTCGATATTTGAATTTTAGATTTTCGAATTTTTATTTTTTGGTTTTTTGGTGTTTGGATTCCTCCATTTTTCAATTTTGCGATATGTTAATTGTTCCGTGTTTTAAATTTTAGATCTATCAATTTTTCAGTTTTTCAATTCTTTTTATTTTTTAAATTTCGACGTTTCTGAATTGTCAGTTTTTCGATTTTTCAATTAATCTATTTTTTGATTTCCCCATTTCTCGACCGCCCAAGGTTTCGATTTTCAATTCTTCAATTTTTAGATATTTCAGGTTTTTGATTTTTCAATTTTTCGGTTTTTTAAATTTGCGATTTTTCGAATTTGCTTTTTTGACTTTTCGATTTTACAAATTTTCAATTTTTTAATTTCACAATTTTTCGCTGTTTCTTTCAATTTTTGTCATTTTTGAGTTTTTTGATTCTTCAATTTTTCTTCTCTTTTTCAATTCTTCTATGGTTCAGTTTTGGGATTTTTTAGTATTTCGACTTTTTGATTTTTCGAGTTCTGGATTTTTCGATTTCTCGATATTTTACGTTTTGGATTTTCCATTTTTCGATTTCTCCATTTTTCTCGGTTTTTCAATTTTTCGACTTTTCGACTTTTGCATTTCTTAATTTTTCAATTTTTCGATGTCCCAGTGTAATGATCTTTTAATTTTTCGATATTTAAATTTTTCAATTTTTTAATTTTTGACGTTTCTATATTTTGAATTTTTCAAATTTTTCAATTGATTGATTTTTTCTTTCCCATTTCTCCATTTCTCGATTTTTCAATATTTCGATTTTTCAGTGTTTCACTTCTTCAATTTTTCGATTTTTCAATTCCCGATTTTCAAATTTTTGATTTCCTGATTTTTCGATTTTAGGACATCGATTTTTCAATTTTTCAATTTTCCATGCTCCAGTTTTGAGATGTTTCTGTTTTTCTTAAATTTTTTTTTCATTTTTCGATTTTTCGACATTTCAACTTCTCGACATTTTGATTTGTCGAGTTTTCGATCTTTTGATGTTTCAGTGTCTTGGAATTTTTCAATTCATCGATTTTTTAGCTTTTCGTTTATTCAACTTTCCAATTTTTCCAATGTTTTAAATTTTCGAGTTTCGATTTCTCGATTTGTTGATTTTTCAATTTTTCGATTTTTAAATTTCAGATTTTCGAATTTTTATCTTTTTCGTGTTTCGATTTCTCAATTTTTCAATTTTATATTTTAATTTTTCAATGTTTCAAGTTTTAGATTTTTAGATTTTTCAATTTTTGAATTCTTCCATATTTTTTAATTTTTCAAATTTTCACGTTTTTAATTTTCAGTTTTCCGATTTTTCCATTAATCTATCTTGAGATTTTTGTATTTCGCGACTTCCCAAGGTTTCGATTTTTCAGTTCTTGAGTTTTTCAATTTTTCGACTTTGCTTTTTTGATTTTTCGTTAAATATGACATTTTTAGGTGCAACTATATCTCCTACAGCCACGACATAATCAATAAGTTTCAAGTCTTTAATTGCATTTAGAACTATAGCCGGAACTGAAGTCGTAGGCGTCTCCATTTCGACTGGGATGCATAAAATTATACTCATTCTGCGACGAGTACAATGCCACAGTACTTCACCTCCTCAAAAAGATCCGTTATCAGCGCAAAAAAAAACGATAAGACTTGAATTGATATACAAACCTTGTTACTGCGAAAACGTGTACTGAATTCCCAGTATACAACAGAAAACCCACCAATATCAATACGAAAATATGTACACTGACAAACACCGACAAGAAAAGGCTCTTAAAATATTTATTGATATTAATAAAATCTTATCTATTCTTTATTTAGTTTTTTATTTAATATTTAAAAATTCCGACTTACAGCCTCTCACGTAATCAATAGGTATATCTTTTAGAGAGTTGGAAAAAACGATCATAAGTACATAAAATCTTATCTACATATATATCTTTACTTTTTCCCACAATCACAAACGTCTTCCTTTAATCGATACTTCTAAAGTACAGTGTAGGTTTATTTACAAAATTAAGTTGTTTCAAATGGAAATTACTGGTAAAGTGGTTATTCTGGGACCTATAGGTATCGTAAGCATACAACCTATTATGATCATTTAATTTAAACTAATTAGAATAATTGTCAGTGATATTAATTATTACAAATAAATGTACCTACATACTTATATGTGTATGTACAGGTGCTTACAAAATGAAGCACTAACTCTATGACACGTTGTTAAGGACTGCTTATTGAGCAGAGAAAAAATTGTATAAAAAATCCTAAAGCACAATTCTTGCGTTGGGTATTCAATGACAGCATATTTATTTTATTTTTCCAGGTGTAGGAAAAACCAGTATTCCACTTCGTTATATTCAAAAGTATTTCTTCGATAATATCCAAGCAACTGTGGGCAATTCTCTCTTACGGTGTAAACTTGTGATAGATAGCACCACTGTCAATTTACAGGTAAAGTTTGATATTTTTTTTTGGAAAAAAAAGTATAATAACATTTAAGATATGGGATACTGCTGGTCAAGAACGCTTTAAATGTGTGGTCCCTATGTTTTACCGGAATGCAAACGCAGCTCTATTCGTTTTTGATATTAGTTCCATGGAGAGTTTTCAAAGTATGCAGGGATGGGTTGATGAATTAAAATGCAATTTTCAAAGTGCAGTGGTCACATGTGTGATAGGAAACAAACTTGATTTATCAGAAAATAGAGAAGTATGAATTAGTTTCCTTGTATTTTATCTATTGACAACAGAAAAATTACTAGGTCCCTACAGATGTAGCCAGGCAATATGCCAAAAGTATCAACGCAAGGTACTACGAATGTTCAGCAAAGCGAGATCAGGTATTATTCATCCGTCATGTTTAGTAAAAGTAAGTCATTTAAGTATTTTATAGGCAATTGGAGCAATTTTCGATTACGTAGCTCGTGGTTTGATAAGCCTATCAGAGAACACAACTGATCATGAGTCAGGAAATACTACGAACATAACATTTAGAAATAATCGCAATAGAACAAGAAATGACAGAGATAATACGAAATGTTGTTAATTTTTATTTCAACGTATTAATTTACGTTGTTATGACGAATATTATGTATTATGTATTTATTAATGTACTTCACTTTAATAAATTGTGAAAAGGAGAGAGTCTAAACTTTGGATTTTACTTTTAGAATTCAGAATTGAGCATTACAGATTTTGGGAAGATGGAGGTTTATTATCCACGCACGATCTTTATATAGTAAAGTAGGCTTTGATATATTTTCTTTAAGTTGGATAAACTGGATGATTTAGTTTTTTGTCTGTCAGTAGTCTGATTGACATTTGCTTTGAACTAGATTGCCACTTTTCTACTTCATTTATTAGATCAGAATTATTAGACGCAATTTTTTAATCAAGTAAACAAATGTTTTAATTTTGTCAGCATAGATAATTTGCCATTGTGACAGATTCACAGAACATTGCGACATTATTTAAAAAGAAAATGCCTAAAATAGTTTTACTGCAACAAAAAATTGCAATAAAAAGATGTTTTTTGCAGTTTCGAAAAGACAGGCCCCCCGATCTTTCTTTCGAAGAAGTAATTAAGTATGAGCGTCTCGAACATATTTTCTGTAAAGTATTTTTTAATTTTTTTTCTCATAGGTGGGAACATCAATTGTGGCGAAATTTATCAACAGGGGACCAAAATTTAAAAACATCACTATCTGGCAAGCGGAAACCAACGGATTTATTTACATATTATATGTTTCGGAAAGACCTGCAACGACAAATTTGGCAACTTAATGAAAAAAACGAATATTTCACTGTAGATACTCTTTTGGCGTATTCTAGGGAACAGTTGGAATTTAAAGGGGGGCGAACCACATTACACAAAATTCTTAAGTCAATGGGTTATAAACGCAGGGAAGTAAATGGTCGCAAAATTCTATGTGAACAAAAACATGTCGTTGCAGCCAAAATTACTTTTTTAAGAACATATTTACAGTTTACAGTTAACCAAAAAAATTGGTCTAAAGAGATTAGACAGTACTTCCCTCGCTGTCGGAAACTTGACGACTGCATGCGTATTGTGTTTTTTTTTCTCATTACATTTTTGTAGTGGGAATTTAAAAAAAATTGCGATGACGTCATCAACATTTTTGCAAGGACAAGTATATCAGTTGAGATAGATGTAGTGTAATACTAAGAATAAAATTATTGTATTCCCAAATTTTCGGGAAAATGAATTGGGTCGTTTTGAATATTGATTTGTTATAATCAATAAAATAACGAAACAATTTACTCACGTATACGGCGCCGGCGTGTACTAGAAGAGGCAACTGAAAATCGTTTATGTATAAGCATTCTTAATTTAAGACGACAAGCGTAACATAGCATACGTGAGAGTCAAACAGAAACTGTAAACAAAACCGATGGTCGTTTAGAGATTTTTATTGCTTCGACTTCCGCTTATTATATAAAACATTGGGTTTTATTTTAACTTTTGACGGTGGAGTTCACAATTGGTTGATTATAAACATGTCTATACTACATTCGCGGAACCTTGTCAGCGCACAAAACAAATGCACGTCTGTAATGTTAAAGTAAATATAAATAAGCGTGCTACCCTTATGTTTCAACCGAGTTTTTACTTTACAAAATTTTGTGTCTACCAAATTGGGTTGGTCCAATGTAATACTAATAATAAGTGTTGCCTTTAATTTAATCAATAAAATAAATTGACTTCATTAATTTTTTTGACCCACCTCTTAAGAAAATCTGAAAAATATGAATGGAATGATAAATCACAAGTACAAACTCATCATATTTTTTGCATTTTAGATAGGATTTATTCAGCAAAATTTAGGGGTGACGTCATCAATTTTTTTAGGGGGGATGAACAAATACATTTTGAACAAAAGTTTACCATGCTTATGATAACTTTAAAATATCTCCAAGATTTCAAAGCATTCGGTTTTGTAATTCCTGATTAAATCGATAAAATAAACTCACGCATTCATTAATTTTTTTGAGTCACCCTGTATATGCAAATTCAAAAATATGAGTGGAATGATAAATCACAAGTACAGACTCATCATATTTTGTACATTTTAGATAGGATTTATTCAGCAAAATTTTGGAGTGACGTCATCAATTTTTTAGGGGGATGAACAAATACATTTTAATAAAAAATTTACCATGCTTATAATAACTTTAAAACATCTCCAAGATTTCAAAGCATTCGGTTCTGTAATTCCTGATAAAACCAATAAAATAAATTCATGCATTCATTAATTTTTTTGAGTCACCTTTATATGCAAATCCAAAAAATATGAATGGAATGATAAATCACAAGTACAGACTCATCATATTTTTAACATTCTAGATAAGATTTATTCAGCAAAATTTTTTAGGGGGATGAACAAATACATTTTAATAAAAAATTTACCATGCTTATAATAACTTTAAAACATCTACAAGATTTCAAAGCATTCGGTTCTGTAATTCCTGATTAAATCAATAAAATAAATTGACGCATTCATTAATTTTTTTCAGTCACCCTGTATATGCAACTCGAAAAAATTTGAATGGAATGATAAATCACAAGAAGAGACTCACCGTTTTTTGCACATTTTAGATCGGATTTATTCAGCAAAATTTTGTGGTGACGTCATAAATTTTTTGGGGAGGACGACCAAATACATTTTGATCAAAAATTTACCATGCTCGTGATAATTTTAAAACATCTTCAAGATTTCAAAGCATTCGATTTTGTAGTTCCTGAATAAATCAATAAAATAAATTTTGCGCATTCATTAATTTTTTTGAGTCACCCTGTATATGCAAATCCAAAAAATATTAATGGAGTGATATGTCACAAGTACAGACGCATCATATTTTGTACATTTTAGACAGGATTTATTCCGCAAACTTTTAAGCTGACGTCATCAAGTTTTTGGAGGGGATAACCAAATATATTTTGACTAAAAATTTATGATGCTCTTTCGAGCCTTAAAACATTTACAACGTTTCAAAACATTCGGGTTAGCAGATTCAAAATTAAATTGGAAAATGTTGTTTTATAGTTTTGATTTTTTTTCCAAAAATCTGGACGTTTCGGGTAAAAATTCAATTTAGAGTCGTAAACGACATGTGTAGGACTATGTTATTTTATACAATTTAAGACCCATTTACTATGTACAATTTTAAAATGACGTCATCGCATTAGTGGTGGGGATGATTAGACAAATTTTGGTTAGCGTTTTACCATCTACATGATATTCCTAATATAAGTACAAAATTTCGTAACAATCGGTCCAATCCGGGACGGCAGACAGACGGACAGACAGACGGAAATGGGAGACCTATTTCTTCGTCTTCTAGGGGTCATGAAAGATCGAGAAAACGTAAAAGTAGAGAGTCGGCCGACGGACTCGATTACAATACTTCCTTTGCTTACGCTCGGGAAGTAAAAAGTTCGGGGAATTTTCATTCTTCTGCATCGAATACCAACAAACTCACTAGATTTTCATGGACAACCCTACTATATAAAGATCGTGAACGAATAATAGGAACTGTAAATTACAGGAATCAGAATTGTAAAATTCAGGGTGCAGATTTAGAATTTTAGAAGTCGTGATTTCAGAATTCACAATTTTAGAATTCCAGCACTGTGGATTTTGCGTTTCTTCCCATCAAATTTTCAAATATCGTATTTTGGTTGTTTTACATTACTAGATTGAGGATTTCAGTTGTTAAAATATCAGGGTTTTCAGATTTATTTTTTTAGGTTTAGTGATTTCAGGTTCTAAAATGTTCAGGATTTAAGGATCTAGATTTTGCAGAATTCATAATTTCAAGATTGTAAATTTTTCAAAAGCGGGTATCAGTTGTCAAGATTTCGAGATTACAACCTAAAGATTTTAGTAGGTATTCTGGATTTCAACACATTCAGTTTTAAAATTCACGACTGTGGATTTCGGGTTTCATAATTTCAGGATTCAAAGTGTCAAGATTGATGAGACTTGAGATTTGAAGATTGACTATTAAAAATTTCGGAATCCCATCTTTCCACGGGGGTTCACAGTTTGAAGATTTTATTATTCTAAATTTCGAGAATCACTGGATTTTGTTATTGTGAACCGTAGGTTGTGTAATTTTAGTATATCAATACTCAGGGTTTACGGACTTACGATTTTACGATTCAGAATTTCATGATTTTGAATTTTTTCTAGAGTTATAATTTCAAGATCCATACTTCTTTCTACTTAAAAATCCCGGAATTTCGAATCCTAAAAATCCAAAATCCTATCAAGTCAAAGTTAAAAAGCACTTGTATTTTTAAATTTAAATTCTTCTATTCTAAGATGCTGAATGATGGAATTGTTGTCTGGGAGTTCTGAAAGCTGTAAACTTCAATCGTAATTATAAATACTAAAAGTCAAAATTTGCAAACGCTTGAAAAACTGTGAATTTTGAGCTCTTAAATTTCGAAGCACGATATCTTGAGTCTTGAAATTTAAAATCCGGAACTTTAGAATTCTGAGTACTTGAAAGCCGAGAATTGCGAAGACATGCAGTCCCGAATGTTCGAATTCTGCAAACAAAAATTCTAAGTTACGAAATCCTGATTTAAAAATGCATTTCATGGTTCGTGGACAATTACAGTTATCGAAGAATTTCTTTTTGGTGACCTGATCTAAAAAAAATTCCCCTCTCTGTATTTATTTTAGCAAATTCATTCGTTAATTAAAAAACAGTACATTTATTCAAAAACGTTATCTGGTAAATTCAAACACTACAAACATATCTCTTAAATAAATAGATGAGATTTACAACATTAAAAATATTTTGGTAAGTAATTGGATTCCAGAATTTCCAACTTTACTGGCAAAATGTACCAACAATTTTCGTAAAAAATTATTTTCCCTGAAAGCAATTGATGATGCTGCTCGAGACGGACTACATCCTTGAAATATATCGATGTGTACCAAACAGTTACTCATCTTTTGAGAGCGGAATTAAAAAAAGGCTCTTAAAATATTTATCGATCTTAATAAAATCTTATCTATTCTTTATTTAACTTTTTATTTAATACTAAAAAAAATTCCACTTACAGCTTCTCTCTTAATCAGTAGATGTATCTTCTACCGGGTTGGAAAAACCAACATAAGTACATAAAATCTTATCTATATATATTTACTTTTTCTCGCAATCACAAGCTTCTTCTTTGAATCGATAGTTCTAAGGTACAGTGTTGGTTTATTTACAAAATCAAGTTTCTTAAAATGGAAATTACTGCTAAAGTGGTCATTCTGGGACCGTCAGGTATGGTAATCATATAACCTATCATCATCATTTAATTTAAACTAATTACGATAATTGAGAGTGATATTAATTATTATAAAAAAATATACATACACGTGCTTACAAAATGAGGCATCAGCTTTATGGCACGTTGGTAAGGACTGTTTATTGAACAGAGAAAATATTGAAGACAATTACACAGTTCGTTACACAGTCAACTCCATTCATTATATTTTCATTCGCTTGGTATTCATTTCTTGCGTTTAATTAATGACGTCATATTTATTTTATTTTTCCAGGTGTAGGAAAAACCAGCATTCCACTTCGTTATATTCATAAATTTTTCTCCGGCGATATCTCAATGACCGTGGGCACTTCTCTCTTACAGTGTCAACTTGTTGCAAATAACATCACTGTCAATTTACAGGTAAAGTTTGTACATAATATTTTCTTGCAAAAAAAGACCCATAACATTTAAGATATGGGATACTGCTGGTCAAGAACGCTTTAAATGTCTGGTCCCTATGTTTTACCGGAATGCAAACGCCGCTCTATTCGTTTTTGACATTACCTCACTGGAGAGTTTTCAAAGTATGCAGGGATGGGTTAATGAATTAAAATCCAATCTTAAAAATTCGGTGGTCACATGTGTGATAGGAAACAAACTTGATTTATCAAAAAATAGAGAAGTATGTATTAATTTCGTTGACTTTTGTCTATTGACAACAGAAAAATTACTAGGTCCCTACGGATGTAGCCAGACAATATGCCAAAAGTATCAATGCAAGGTACTTCGAATGTTCAGCTAAGCGAGATCAGGTAATATTCATATTTATGCTTAGTAAAAGTAAGTCATTTAAGTATTTTATAGGGAGTTGGAGCAATTTTCGATTACGTAGGGCATGGTTTGGTAGAACTATTAGAGAACACAACTGATCATGAGTCAGGAAATACTACGAAAATAGCATATAGCAATAGTCGCAATAGAACAAGAAATGACAGAGATAAGACTATTAATACAAAATGTCGTTGCTGATTTTTATTTTAACGTATTGATTTATGTTGTTATGACGAATATTATAATATTTGTATTTTTTATTTCACTTTAATAAATAGAGAAAGGGAGAGTCAAAACTTTAGATTTTGCTTTTAGAATTCAGAATTGAGCGTTAGAGATTTGGAGATGGACGTTTAGGAATTGTAAACTAGAGGAATCAGAATTTTAAAATTTAGGGTGCAGATTTAGAATTTTAGAAGTCGAGATTTCAGAATTCACATTTTTGGCTTTGGATTACTAGATTGAGGATTTCAGTAGTCAAATTAATAGGGCTTATAACTTGAGGATTTTAGTATTAAGTATTTCAGTATTTATAGCTTTAAGATTTCAGATAATAAAGTCGTTTTGCATTTAAACGCATTGGGTCATTTTAAAACACAACGTACCTAAGTGCTCCATTTTGTTGACAGTTTTTGGCCAAATTTTAAACTTTGCCAGAATTTTATAATTTTTGGCCATATATCGCAATTTTATCGGAATGTTTGAGTTATCATAGTTTTTGAACCTTGGCTAAATTTGTCAAGAATGTGGTGTCGATTTAATCATTCAACTTAACAAATAAATGATATGATATTATTAGACCAAATTCTTGCGACACTGAATGAATTGTGGTTTCTAACTGACGTCACTAGTGTAGCTTATCTTACAACATACAAATTTTCTGAAAAACTCGACATAAATGATACTTTTTATCACTAAGCTAGGCTTTGTCTACGTTTTTACTTCTGTTTTATATTTTTAGTTCAGGACAACGCGCATGGAATATTTTAAGTTAATTAATAAAATTTTTAATTTATTTCTTCAAAATTTCTTTTTATTATGTATTTTTTTTTTAACAAATAAATAAACAGCTTTCAGTTTGCCAAAATTTTCAGTCTCACAGGAATAATAATCTGTTTAAATTAGCTTAAAAGTGAATTTTATAAAACATTAATAAATATTTCTTATGGGTTTCTAGAAATGTTGATGCCACTCATAATAAATGCACAAAACCCATTATCGGCTGACAACATTTTAAACACTAATGCTTCGGAAAAAGCCAAAGCTGCCACAACAAAGTTATGAGACCAATTTCAAATATTTTTATAAACATTATTTTTAACAAACATCCATAAAAAAATTGGCAAGGCTTTTTACACCGCAATTATTTTTACGTCTAACAGTAAAACTATCCTATTCAAATGTTTACATTTTTGTGTCACACTTCGATAAAATATTTGGCAAATCTAAACTAAATTATGATTCGGTGGACACTTATAACTCCGAACAATACTCTTTCTTTACGCCATTCCGCCCCACTGTCACGTCTCCCATAAATAATTCCTAGCTTAATGGCAAAATTAAATTTGCGATAAATATCCGAATTTATTAAAATAATCGCACTCCTAATTTACAGCGACATTAAAAACCTTGTTTAATGCGAGATATACGTCGCTTTTAATAAGCCGAAATTGTGAACATGTGGTTAATTTAGTTTTCAGCTAAAAGGCAATCCAGATGTACGAATACGGCAAAAATCGGAAAAAGCGTCAAATTTCTTTGAGAAACGTGAGTTACGATTAATTAATTTTAAACGACAGCCCCTTTCCACGATTTCTAATTACCGAAAAAAGGAAAGCGACGCGTTTAGGGGATATGCACCATTGGCTTCGTTGCGGGTTGAATTACACGTGTTCCATGTGGCGGGAGCTTCCCCTAAATCAAGAGGCGCCACCAATTAACTGGAGAGTGTGAATAGTCGTTAGGAAAAAGTATTGGACAAACAATATAATAAATTAACAAAGTATTGAATAATATATTTAGATGAATTTTATGGAATAGTGTCTTGTGTTGTTTTTTGAAGACAACATTTTTAGACGTTCGGTTTTGTCTGAACAAGTGCTATAAATCACCCGTCGTTATTCGAGCTACTGCATAAGTGGTGCCTGATGGTCTAGGAATTTACAAAATTTCATAACAATCTTTGGAATCTCCTTCATAATTTGACACTTGCAAGGAAAAGTGGCGCCAGAATATCCGGAATAATACGTTTAGAGACACTGTAGCAAGTACTGTATATATTTCAAAAAACTTGTATGGTTTAAGTTTATTTCATATTAGATTATTTTTTTCAGTGCATAATATTAGCTATATTATGCTTATAAAAAAATTATTTCATAAAATTTAAAAATAAGTACATGAACATGTCTAACGTTTCACTGAATTTTGAAAAAACAAACTTTTCAGTAATATTAAAGTTTCTGTATATTGTCAAAAATTCGAAATAAGAATTTATATACCTTAAATTTTGTAAAATCTATGCAAATTTTCGTTGACAATCTCATTTGTCATGATTTTTTCTTATTCATCGTGAGCAGGGGGCGGAGCTTAATAGCAAAATCTTTATTTTTCTACAAGAAATTTCCATGTAAAACTTGTTCTTAAGTAAATCGTGTTGTTCAATGAAAAGTATATGCATTAAGTAAAGAAGAAAGGAAAGATTAAGCCCCACCCACCCGCCCCGGTTACAGTTGTGATAAATTTTTCATTCGTTGAATTGGTCTAGCCAAGGGGCGGAGCATAATTGCAAGAATCATATTTCCCTAAAAAGAATTACCATTTGAAACATATTTTAAATTTCTTGTTGCAAAAAGAAGACTGCGTATATTAAGACAAATAAGCTCCACCCACCCGCCTCATCTCAATTGTGATGATTTTTGTATAGGTCGTGAACCCGGGAGCGGAGCTTAATTTAAAAAATCTGATTTTCCTACAAGAAATTTTCATTTAAAACAAATGTTTAAGTATCGTCTTTTTGTCATAAGTGGGAGGAGTTACATAGTCCCCTATTTCTGAAAATGATGTACCTATTTTGCAACAATACGGTAATACTTAAAACATGTTTTCGTAATTTCTGATACAGAAATATGAACTTTGCGTTTAAGCTCCGCCCCTCGACTTAACAACGAATGAAAAATTCATCATAACTGAGATTAGGGCGGGTGGGTAGGGCTTAATCATTGCTGTTTTTTTGCTAAATATATGCAGGTTTAATTAAGAAACAACGCAAAATATAAACCCCGTCCACCCGCCCCACTTCAATTGTGGTGCTTTTGTTTTTCATGCTCTATGAGCCCAGAAAAGGACCTTAATTGCAAATTCATGATGTATTTTCCAACAATATGGTAATACTTAAAGCATGTTTTCGTAATTTCTTGTACAGAAATATGAACTTTGCGTTTAAGCTCCGCCCCTCGACTTAACAACGAATGAAAAATTCATTACAACTGAGGTTAGGGCGGGTGGGTGGGGCTTAATTTTTACTCTTTTTTTTATTATTATTATTGTTGTTATTATTTTCTTGTTTAATATATGCAGGTTTAATGAAGAAACAAAGCAAAATATAAATCGCGCCCACCCGCCCCCATTTTAATTGTGGCGATTTTTTTTTCATTCGCCATGAGCCCGTGGGAGGAGCTTAATTACAAAATCCTAATTTTCCTACAAGAAATTATCATTTGAAACATATTATGTTTAAATATCGTATTGTTGTCATAAGTGGGAGGAGTTAGATAGTCCCATATTTCTGAAAATGATGTATTTTCCAACAATATGACAAAACTTAAAACATGTTTTCGTAATTTCTTGTACAGAAATCTGAACTTTGTATTAAAGCTCCGCCCCTCGACTTCACAACGAATGAAAAATTCATCACAACTGGGATTAGGGTGGGTGGGTGGGGCTTAGTCTTTGCTCTATTTTTTTGCTTAATATATGCAGGTTTAATTAAGAAACAAGACAAAATATAAGCTTAATCTTTGCTCTCTTTTTTTTGCTTAATATATACAGGTTTAATTAACAAACAAGACAAAATATAAACCCCGCCCACCCACCCCCATTTTAATTGTGGCGATTTTGTTTTTCATTCGCCATGAGCCCGGAGGAGGAGCTTAATTGCAAAATCCTAATTTTCCTACAAGAAATTATCATTTGAAACATATTATGTTTAAATATCGTATTGTTGTCATAAGTGGGAGGAGTTAGATAGTCCCATATTTCTGAAAATGATTTATTTTCCAACAATATGACAAAACTTAAAACATGTTTTCGTAATTTCTTGTACAGAAATCTGAACTTTGTATTAAAGCTCCGCCCCTCGACTTCACAACGAATGAAAAATTCATCACAACTGGGATTAGGGTGGGTGGGTGGGGCTTAATCTTTGCTCTCTTTTTTTGCTTAATATATGCAGGTTTAATTAAAAAACAAGACAAAATATAAACCCCGCCCACCCACCGCCATTTCAATTGTGGCGATTTTGTTTTTCATTCGCCATGAGCCCGGGGGAGGAGCTTAATTGCAAAATCCTAATTTTCCTACAAGAAATTATCATTTGAAACATATTATGTTTAAGTATCGTATTGTTGTCATAAGTGGGCGGAGTTAGATAGTCCCATATTACTGAAAATGATGCATTTTCCAACAATATGACAAAACTTAAAACATGTTTTCGTAATTTCTTGTACAGAAATCTGAACTTTGTATTAAAGCTCCGCCCCTCGACTTCACAACGAATGAAAAATTCATCACAACTGAGGTCACGGTGGGTGAGTCTTTGCTCTCTTTTTTTGCTTAATATATGCAGGTTTAATTAAGAAACAAGACAAAATATAAGCTTAATCTTTGCTCTCTTTTTTTTGCTTAATATATACAGGTTTAATTAACAAACAAGACAAAATATAAACCCCGCCCACCCACCCCCATTTCAATTGTGGCGATTTTGTTTTTCATTCGCCATGAGTCCGGGGGAGGAGCTTAATTGCAAAATCCTGATTTTCCTACAAGAAATTATCATTTGAAACATATGTTTAAGTATTGTGTTATCATAAGTGGGCGGAATTACGTAGTTCCCTTTTTCTGAAAATGATGTATTTTCCAACAATATGGTAATACTTAAAACATGTTTTCGTAATTTCTTGTACAAAAATATGAACTTTGCGTTTAAGCTCCGCCCCTCGACTTTACAACGAATGGAAAATTCATCACAACTGAGATTAGGGCGGGTGGGTGGGGCTTAATCTTTGCTGTGATTTTTTCCTCAATGCAGGTTTCTTTCAACAACACTAGGTATACTTGTGTCAAATGGTAATTTCCCTGCAGTATGAAAAAGTAGGTCTGCCATTTCCGTCTGTCTGTCATATGTCCGTCGTCTGTCTTCATCTGTCTGTCATCTTATTAAACAGATATTCTCTGAAACCTCAGAATTTGTCTATCATCCCCACCAACAATGTGATGACGTCATCTATAAATTTTAGATAGTAATTGTTATTTAAATTTTATTTTTTTCCCGAACATCACCTTGGTGATGGGATAGGGTCCATCCGGTGAACGGCTAATTTCATGTGTCCAGTACGCAAAAAGGGGTCTCCCGTTCCCGCCTGCCTGTCTTTCACCTGTGTCAACAATTATTAGACAGATAACCTCCGAAACTACTGGACCGATTATTGTAAAATTTTGTATGTATTTTAGGAATATCGTGTAGATGGTTAAACACGAACCAAAATTTGTCTGATCTTCCTTACGAACATATATAACATTTATATAGTAAATATCGTTTAAATTTCATAAAATAACATATTTTTGTACGTGTGGTTTATGAATCCGTCTTTATTTGTGCGGACTTTTTAAATTTTATATTAGCAGTGTGGACGAACTCTGCATTTTTCACGTCATCCTTTGTAAATATTGAATGTAGTAACTGATAAGCGACGGACGGCGTATTTTATAAATGATGGACTTTATAAACGACGAAGACCGCACTTTCGTTGTTTTTTTCTAAAACTGGATTTATTTAAATGACGTCATATTTTTTTTTGACGAAGAAAAATTATATTTTGACTGCTATAAGATCGGTCTAAAATGATTTGGACAGAACTTTCCATTGCCCCTTAAATATGTACATCCAGACACATCCAATTTTTTCGAAAAATGATGAAATTTGGTTTTGCAAAATGTTATTTATTTTATGATAACCACAGACGGCAGATCAAAAGTCCGATAATCCGGAAGTAACCTACCAAGCATTTCAGCGAGATATCGGTTACATGAAACAAGTCGAAAATATTAAGCAAAAAAATGTAAACTAATTGTGACAAAATTCAAGGCGGATTCATAAACCACGAGTACAGGATCATTTTATTTTATAAAATTTACATAACCTTTACTATGCAAAATGATGAGGAGACGTCATTAAATTGATGGTGGGGGTGATTAGATAAAATATAAGATTTGAGAACAATCGGAACAGAAGTTTCAGAGATTATTATCTGTCTAATAAAAATCGACACAGGGAGACAATACAAAATTCAGAAAGAACTATACTATTGGGCGTTTACTAAACATGATTTTCGGAGAGACACTTTATTTCAAAGATACAGGGCGATTAAACAATAAAAATTAATCTACAGAAGTTGCTAAAAAGGATAAAAAAATCTTAAAATAACCGCATGTTTAGTAAACACTCCGTCTATTTCAAGAATTAAAAAAAATTATATGAGCTATTTTTTGAGTCAAACAATAAAGAAATTGTTCTAAGATAACGTCGTTAAATTTTTGGTGAGTTAATCCTAAATTTTGGATAGATTTTCTTCATGTAATGTACACCTAAAATTTCAAATAATTCAGTCTCGTAGTGTCGAAAATTATCAGTATACTACGTATTTTGAAATTCTTTTTTATGTTGATCTTTGTGCGGGAAAAAGTTTTTTTAAGTTTATAATTAAGATTAAAACGCAAACGAGAGTAAATCTCATACTTTAAAATTTCACAACAATAGAAAATGTATAAAAAAAATATAAACAATCCCTGTAATACTTTAATTAATCCTTTGTGTTATTCAGGCAATGACACTTTTTTTGGCTTCACTGCGTAGTTGATAGCAAAAGACAAAATCTGTAAAAAAACCTAATTAAAATTCATCTTTATCACCTAAATGGTAGCTCACGTTTAAAACGGAAATAGTGAAGGATATAGAACCCGACAATTTAAAATTTTGTCTGGTATATTCTTCAACAGGGTCCACGCAGCCTTTAGTATATGTCGGTTTTTCACACGTAGTATTTCCTCTGCAACAACTTTTCGGATGTGTCCGATTGTGGATTCTTTGAAAATCGTCAGATCCATTATAACCACAACAATGAAACTAAAAAATAATGTTTTAACGTGCACGCACTAGATAAAATTTGTGCCTTCTGATGAAGATAGTCATAAAATGTCTCCCAGTTTTCTTTAGGATCAATAAACATTTCCTGTAGCTCGTGTCTGAAGTCCTGCATGTAATGGGACGTGGGACTTTTTAACAAAAAAGCGACAGTGCCGTAATCCACGTATATTACGAAGAGAAGAAGAGACATAAAAAGAATCTATACATGATTATGAAAACGTCTTTGATTTATTATCTTTTACCATGTTCAGAATCCACTGGTTTCTAGTCAGAACTGCGTAGCATGCAAGAGCCGTCGTAACACTTAACAGCAAACCGATAGCTATCAGAATTGCCCCGATATAAATATAGGGCTTTTGGGTAGCAGCTTCGTATTTTACTTCAAAGTCTATCCAGATAATACCGAAACTGAACAGCAATAAACCTAACAGCTAATAAACTTTTAGCAAATTGTGGTAATAACAACATTACTTACAGCTATTATAACGTTTATAACAAGTATTGCATATCTTGCTCCTTTCTTCACCCTCATTATTTCTTTGTCTTCTGTTTGTTATCACAGTAACAACTACAGTTTTTTAATTATTTTTAATCAAGCGCAGTCCCGTAATTTCGAAATTGTTTGTCTGTAATTTTCTTGTCACTGAGTTAATGACATTAAAATGACAACTTTAAACGAGTCATATAATAATATAATACCGCTTGATTTTATACTATGTATTTATGTAAGGATATATTTTTTTCCCAAAAGTGAAAACAGTGATTTAAAGTAAAACATACCTAGGTAAATACGTACAAAGTAAATACTCATGCACACACTGTTGAATCCGGAACAAAGACGCTACAGACTTTTATATTAAGATCCTCAATTTAATTTAAAAACTCATAAGTACTTCAATATGTTAAAACCTCATGGCTGCATACTTTAAAACGAGGTCACCTAAATCCGCGCTTAAAAAGCAGATTAAACTTTATCCTTACTATATACTAGCGATAATTGGGCAATCCATAAAAATAATTATCCTCGCATTCTGAAAAACTAATGTCCATTGAAAACACATGTTGTCAACTAAATATATCTTAATTATCCCTACCCCATCCAAACCCCGCCTCTTCACTCACCATTGGTGTAAAACCATGACGAACTTAAGTAACTTTAAAGCTCACTTTCAGTGTTTCAGACAAATTAACTTTTAGCATTCTGAAACTATAATCATTATTATGTTTGGGCACATGCAAATCTGAAACCATGACAGAGAAAGTGAGTGAATCGAAAATCGACGCCGATTGCGACAAGAAAAGCAGTGTTTCGGAAAAATCGATCAATTTCTCCATCGATTCGTTGCTGTCGTCTGATAAACCCGCAAGAAGTGATTTTGTGGCATCGCCGCGGCCATATTTGGACAAGTGTGATGCAGAAAAAGTGCAATCGAGTGGCAAAAGTGACATTAAGCGCGAGGTCGAAGAAGTGGTGTCGACTTCCGGCGATTTCTACCAGAGGAATTATCAAGATGGTGAGGGTTTTTTTGGGCTATTATACAACTATAAATTGTCGTTTTCGTGACGATAAATAAGCCTCATTAGCGTATTCACGCACGTCCAATAAGTCGGTTTAGTTTTATAAAAAATCACCGCATAATTGAAAATTTACAAGCGCTAAAAACATCAAAGACTCGGAGAATCTTTTGATATCAGATACAGTAATAAACAAGTCAAGTCGAGGTAAATTTTACGATTTATATTATGTTGGAAATTACACTGTACCGCAGCTATTAACTAATTTTATCTTATTGTTTGGATACAAGATGTTTGACAAAGAAATATTGAGATATTTTTGTGAAGAAATTTTATTTTTGAATTTCACCAAAAAACAAGCTAATAAAAATGTTCGGCAGGAATTTTATGACCATAAAGATACGAATGCGGTTTTATAACCACTGTTGGGCTGTAAATATTTTCTCAAATTTTTTTTCTAATTATGTAGTTTGGGTAAATGAACGTGTTTTACATCTTCCTCATTTAAGTTAAGTATAAATAGAATTCAGGACGGATTAACAGTGATCTTCATTTTCCGTCGCATCATAAGGTGATATTCATAAAGGTATAATTAGAAAGAAGTGGCGAAATTAGGTGTGCAAATAAGCCAGAACAATATTTGAAAGGTAAATATAAATCATTTATTGTAGCGTATCTCTTTATGGCAGTCATTAAGTCCCTTGATTTCACCACTGCTAATTGGCAAATATTATAACAATTAGCATTTATGATGTCACGTTAATGAATAATAACAACTTGTGTGTTTAAGAGAAATTGTAAATAAGTATGTGGATGAATAAACTACTAAAAATCCGTTACTATCAGTTTGCAAAACTCCGAAAGTATTCTTAAAACAGGTTATAACAGGAAAATTTGTCTTAATAAGACAATAAAAAAATATTACATAATTAATAAAACATATTTGTGCACAAATGTTATTTCCATCTGTTAAGCTATTTTGGCAAACTGTAATATAATTTTTTATTTAAGTGAATTGTACACCCGCAATTAAAAAAAAAAGTTGCAAATGGCAATATTAAAATTCAATATTTTTAAGTACCGAAAATTATTTCAAAATGAGTACCTCTCCAACAAAGAAAAAGTAAACCTTTATGAGTAAATAAAATGTTAAAACTTATTTATTTTTGTCCTTTCTAAATTAAGAACGTTGTTTCTCTTTTCAACAAATTGTTGCTTCGTCAAAATTTACAGCCTACAGAACGAATTTTCGTAAAAATTGCTCATAATAAACACATAATAGGTACTTATATTTATAATTTAAGGATTGATGTTTGAAATGTATACCTACACAAAGGAGTTCATAAATGAATTTTTGTTTAGCATTACATTCTTTTAATTTTTCCCGAAATTACATCAACTTTTTTTACATAGTAGCTGAATTTTGTGCAAATGACTTCAGTGTTTTGTTTCAATTACAATAAAATATGGTTCCCAAATGTTATATTTTTTAATCAATGATTTGACACTGATTTATTCAAAGAGAAGAAAATATTGTTTAAAACACTTGAAAATTGTACTGCATTTCAGAAATATCGGTATCAACGTAATTTTGCCGTCCACTCATCTCATAGTATGTGATACCTAATTTAAAATGTTAGTTTTCCAAAAAATTGAAATGCTTATTAGAAAGTAAGAAGGAAACTCATGTTAAATAATATACCACTATATTATTTAACCACCCTTGAACTACCACACTTTATCAACGTACATATTCATAATTTCTCAGTATATGCTTAACTTCGACTGTTTATGTTTATATATTTATACTTTGAAAGAATTTGACTATTAGCAAGTTCAAAGCTGTTAAAAGAAAATGAAATTTGATTGGTTTTGCCTTCTTAAAATTACTTAAGCACACTCAGTTTTTTCCAAAAAGTTGGATGTCAAGGGGATATAATAAACGGACAAATTTTATTTACCGTTTTACCATGCTTCCAACAACTTTAAATTATTCATAAGATTTCACAGTATTCAGCTTAGCATTTTTAAAGTTAAATTGTAAAACAATGTTATACAATTTTGATTTTTTTTCCAAAAAATCATGATACCTAGAGTAAAAACTAAACACGGATTCATAAATCACACATATAGCATGCTATTTTATAAAATAAAAAAAAAATTATTTGGCATAATTTTAAGATGGCATCATTATTATTTAGCGAGGTTATAAACGAATAAATTTTTTTTGTACGTTTACAAAATCTGGATGTCTAGGTTAAAAATTTGCCATCCTATTATCGCTGGGGATGTGCACAATATTTCTAATTCTTATATAAAATTTGACAATAGTTGGTAGAGAAATTTCGAAGATTACCTGCTTAATAAAAATCTGAAAAGACAGCAGCAAGCAGACAGACAGAAACGGGACACCAGTTTTTTTTTATTCTAGGGATCATGAAACATCGAAAAAACTTTAAATTAGCAGTGGTCCGATGGACTCGATTACAATACTTAGTTAGCGCTTAAGCTCGAGAAGTAAAAAGAAGTTGAAGTCATTTTCGAAAAAAGCAAAAGTGAACTAAACTATACTAAAGAAAAAACGCTAAAACTTTATTAATTGTGAAGCGTTTCCTGTGTTAATTTAAATTCTAATTTGAAACTTCCACCCCTTTTTAATTTTATTAAAAAATCGTCGAAAAAATGCACTTAAAAACATAGTCTATTCTAATAAAAAGGTTTTACAGAATCATTTGTTTAAATTAACTGTTCCTAATTTCCAACTTCTATATTTTCCAAGAATTGAAATATTATAGGGAACCACTTAAATTGAGACACCGGGTAGACAAGTAAAATTTATACTAAATGATGAAAAAAAAGTCTTTTAGTCAGCTATGGAATTATTAAAAAAAAAAATGTGTTGGCAAGATCTGCACTGTCACAGCTGGTTGTTTTGGACGTTATGGAAAATTATTCGCGAAATTCTTCTATACCTCGCATTAAAGAGAAATACCATTTACTGTTCCTTGCTTGACCCCATTTCGTAATAACTTTATTTTAAAAATTGTATGTTATGTTCCAAGCATTTTTCTTTATTACACCGACAATATAAATTTCAAACTGACAGGTAGCTTAAAAAAAAAAAAATTCCATGGCTGACTATAGGACGTTTTTATTTCCCGAGAGTAAGTAAAGGAAGTAGTGTAATAGGGTCCATCGGGGGTTACTTTCATGACCCCAAGAGTACCGAAAAAGTGGTTTCCCGTTTCCGTCTGTCTGTCGTCTGTCGTCTATGTCGATTTTTATTAGACAAATAATCTTTGAAACTATTGGACCGATTTTCGCCAAATTTTATATTTAGTTTATGAGTATGGTGTAGATGGTAAAACGGTCATTTGATTGAGGTTATCTAAATTTTATGAAATACTATACTCCTGTACTTGTGGTTTATGAATCTATTTTGATTTCGATTATAATTATTATATTTTTTATGTACTTAACCATCAAAATATAGAAGATTGCAAAATTTCTAACATAAATTTCTAACAGTGATTTTCGGAGTATTTCTGTGACGTGTAACAGTCAGCTACATAAATAAAAAGTCCGGGGATATATGCCGGGGCTTTTTGTTAATTAAACCAAGAATAATTCATTCTATTTTCCAGAAAATTTGAGAATACAGTACTTTTATTATTAGTATTACACAGCACGTATTCGAATTGATATACCTAAGTATTCTTGTTATGGAAAACTCACTTAAAACATACGCGTAACATGTTTCTGTACCTGCAGTTTGACAATCGGCAGTTCACACATTATTTTAACTTATAGGAGTTATAGTAATAAAATTCGTCAATTGAAATAATTTTATAGTTTTTTGAAGAAGTCGGATTTGTTCGACTTTAGATCAGGGGTAACGGAAGCTCTGCCTAAATAACCTTAGATTTTAGTTTTCGTTCATATAATACGTATATAAATAAATGATATTTTTTGAGAGTTGATTAAAATTCCTGAAAAAATTCTGGAACATAAATCTGGACGAGCTGACCAAGATTTTCAGAAAATTCAATTTGACGATGAAATTTTGTAAATATATATGTCGAAAACTGTCATTTATGATTTTATCCATTACAGAAAAATTTTTGGAATTTTTGAAGAAAAGAATCCGAAAAAAACAAGTCGAAATGTAGAAGATGTGTTTCAGTAATTTTCTAAAAATGCTTGAAAAACCGCCAAACATTTATTAGAAAAGTTTGATATTTTTGAAAAGTCCAAAAATCTTCAAAAAGTTCTGGAACATAAATCTCATCAAACTAATTCCTAAAAGAAAACGTATTAATGATCCCGGACCAATATTTTTGGAAAATTCGCTTTGAAGATGAAATTTTGATTCTCGAAAACTGTCATTTTTAATTTTATCGATTCTAGAAAAATTGATGGAACTTTTAAGTATCGAAACTAGAAGAAAATGTGTTGAAGTAATTTTCTAAAAGTGCTCGAAAATCGGCCAAAAGTTGCCTAAATTTGCATCCTCAAAAAATTCTGAGACAAACCTCGATGAGCTGATAAGAAAAACAAAAATTGTAAATGGTCACGGACCAAGATTTTTGAAAATTTCATGTCCTGCCTACCTAACCTTAGATTTTGTTTTTTGTTCATATTGTAGGTATATGAATAATTGATATTTTTGAAAAGTTGATTAAAACTCTTCAAAAAATTGAGGGACACAAATCTCGATGAGTTGATTGGAAAAGCAAATCGTATTAATTAATAGTCCCGGACCAAGATTTTCAAAAAAATTAATTTGACGATGAAATTTTGTAAATATCTCGAAAACTGACATTTATGATTTTATCCATAATAGAAAAATTGTTGGAATCTTGCAAGAAATGAATCCGAAAAACTTCTACAAGTCGAAATCTAGAAGAAAATATGTTTCAGTAATTTTCTAAAAGAACGCGAAAATCGGCCAAAAAATCCATTTGAAAAATGGACACTTTTGAAAAGTTACTAAATAATT